ATCCCCCAAGGAAGGGGATGAAGCCAGCAGGATGAAGCCCCTATTCCATTCCACCTTGTCTGCGTCTCTTTATCCCGCTCCCTTTAAGGCATGTGATCACGCTCTCAAATGCCCACACACGACGCCTGGAACATTGCATGTGGCCAGTACTGGCTGCTGAATGAAGGGCAGAATCGGGCCTCCAGACCACTGAGAAAAGTGCTCATGTCCATTCCCTGAGGGCCTACTACTTGTCAAGCACTAATTCTCTCCTTCACCCCCCACCCTGGGAGCACCAAGCATGGAATCTGGTACATCGTAGGCATTTAATGCCTATTTTTTTAAATAAGTGAATGAGGCGGGTACTATCATGATGCCCATTTTAGAGACAGGGAAACCAGGGCTTGGAGGAGATGCAGTGACTTGCCCAAAGTTCTACAGCTGAGCTGGGATTTGAAGCCAGCTTCGTCTGATTGCAAGGCCCATGGACTTTTTGCTGCAGCCTTTTGTGGAGTGCTGAGGGGACCCTCTGGTCTAGCACAGGCTTTCCTCCTTTTAATGTTCAAAGAAGACTCACAAAGGGGCTGGGGCTGGTAGGAGTATGGCTGGGCTGATAAATGGACAGTTTATATGTAAGGCTGCCTAATCCAGAGACAGGCCCACCTGAGCACTCTCCTCCTTCCTTCTAGAGCCTTCCAAGCTTTCCCATTGCCTGCAGGAGAGAGTCCTGGCATTCAAGGTCCTTCACAGCCTATCCTCATCTTCCACCACCCCTGATGTGAGCTCATCCAGCTGGTCTCCCTGACCCTGAATTTGCCCTCCTGGCTCCATGATTCCATTCCTGACCCCTGCCCCTCATCACTCCAAACTGGAGTGCCCTCTCCCCATTCCAAGCCTCATCCCCCTTTCTCCTCCCTCAGGGGCAACCTGGGGGAAGCCTCAGCCCCAAGTCCCCTCAGACCTGGATCTGTTACTGGATTAGTTCCCTCAGGGCCCAGCCTTCCCCTGGGCCCATGTCTGACTCGTCTGTGCACCACGCATGATGCAGGGCGCGGCACAGGTTTGTGAACTGTGCTAACCATAAGACAGTAAGAAGCAGGGGTGAGATGGCAAGAGGGCAGATTCAGGAGGCAGACAGGCATGGGTTAAATCCCAGTCCTTCCTCTTTTGAGCTGGATGAACTTGGGCAAGTTACTTTCCCTCTCTGATCTTTAGTTTCATCATCTGTAAAATGGGTATAACACCTCATAAGGGGTAAATGTAAAAATCTGAGGCAACTTCTACTCTCCCCAGTGCAGGGCTCAGAAAACTCACTCTAGACAGTCAGTGTATTTCCCAAGTGCCTACTGTGTCTCACAAGCTGTGCTATGCAAAGTCTCATGAGGAACACATCCAGCTTTCCAGGAACACACCAAGCTTGTTCCTGTCTCAGGACCTTTGCACTTGCTGTGTCTTCTCCTGGGATGCTCTTCCCTACATCTTTGCATGGCTGCCTCTCTCTCTTCACCATTCTGATCTCAGCTCAGTTGTCCATTCCTGGACCATCCAATTGGGAGTAGCCTTCTGTGGCCCCAATCCTTCCTTATCCTGATCCCCTGTTTTATTTTCTTCATAGCCTGTATCTGAAATGATCCAGTTTAACCACCTGTTGACTTGCAAATGGTCTGTATCCACCCAGGGAAAATACTCCATGTGGGCAGGGACCTTGTCTTATCACCGCTGTTTCCCTGTTGCCTGGGACAGTGTGGGCACGACTCAGTGCAGAGTTGCTGAGTCAGCGACCCTTAGAGCCTGGGAACCAGGGTATATGCTGGGCTCTGGGCAGCACATGTGGCCGGCGAGGACCCTTTCTGTCTCCCACTGTCCCTCACTGCCCTCCCATGTCCATGCTTCTGTGTTGTCTTCTCGCAGGCTGGGAGCATCCCCCATCCGGGGATCTGCCCTTGGCTGAGTCATCTCTCATCCCTAGGCCTGGCTCCGGGCCAGGCATGCAGGGGGAGCTGGGCAAATGGACCTATCTCAGCTCCTCACCGCTCCCACATCTAAGGAGCCCCAGGGAAGGGCCGACAGAGAGAGATCAAAGAAGATGAGAAAAAGGTTCCAAAGTTGGCCCTTTCAGTGCAGATAAAAGTGGAGGAAGGGAAGGCCGAGGAGGAGGGAGGAGCGAGGAGGAGCGAGGACCCTGAGAAGGGGATGGAGAGTGATACTGGAGAGGAGGGGAGTGGGCGGACTCAGCCCCTCCTCCTTCTCCCCTCTGGGCCTCGCTTTCCTGACATGACAGTGTCCTCCCAGGAGAGGTCTAGGGCCAGGCCAGACACCACGGGGGTGTTTAAAGACTGGAGAGACAGCTGGGGTGGGAGGGAGATGGAGGCGCTCAGAGGCAGTGGCAGGATGGTTTTGACAGTGAGAGGGTGCAGGCAGCAAGGCGCTCTGGGCTTCTGCACAGAGTCTGAGCTCCTCAGCCTGTCCTTGAGGACCTCCCCTTTCCCGCCCCATCTCTCTCAGTCTGCTGTAGACATCACTGTCCACTCTGCTCCCAGGCACACCCACCACTCCTCTGCCTGCGTATGTCTGCACAGGTTGCATCTCTGCCCTTCCCCTCGTGTTTCCACCTGACCAGACCCAGATACCCAGCTCGGTTCAATTCCCACCGCTTCCAGGAAGTCTTCCCAGACCCCTGGGGCTACTTCCCACCCTGAGAGCCCATGGTCACGTTAGCAGGATGACATCTTTGTGTCTCCTCACACAGGATTGCCATGTAAGGTTGCACACGCTGTGCACCACACAACTCCAGGAACCGTTCCCACAGATGACGATGGGAATGTTACCTTCTGGAACTGTGCAATGCGGAGGTCCTCAGGTTAACCTCCCCGCTTCCCCAGGCCCAGCACAGAGCCAGGCACATAGTCAGCTAAGGAACCACTCGGTGACTGACTACGCGCAGGGCTTTGAGAGGGGAAGTCGGGAGCCCCAGAGCCTCTTCCATCCATCCAGCACTGGCCGCTGCCCCGACCTCCTCCGTTGAGTCAGCTGTAACTCTCCTTCCTTCACCTCTCTGCCCTCTTTCCTTCTCCCATCTGGGCCACCGTCAGGGACTCGCTCCCTCCCTGACCCCTGCAGCCCCCAGACCTTTCCAGGGACACCAACAGTGTGGGCAGTGCCCCTCCCCCTACTCCCCTGTCTCCACTCCTGCTCTGTCTCTCGCTCGGTCTGTGTCTTTCTGTCCCTTTCGGGCTTTCTCTCCAAGCCTCCTCTCTCTGTTTCTACATTGCCAGCGAGGTGTCTCTGTCTCTTTTGGTTTCTCTCGTCTCGCTTCCTCCAGCTGTCCCCTCTCCAGTCTCTCCGTCTCATTGTGGGCCTCTCTGCATCTCCCTGAGTCTGCTTCTCTGTCTCTTTTCTCAGTCTTCCTCTCCTACATTTCATTCACTTGCCACATATTGAGTGAGTGTCCACAGACTGCCTGGCACTGGGCTGGGCCCAAGGATGCAGCTGTGAATAAACAGGTGCAAATCCCTGCCCTCGCGGAGCTTACATTTTAGTGGAAGAGACAGACAATGTAATCAGAAAAATCGGTAGCATGTTAGATAGTGACCAGGCTGGTGAGGGAAAAGCAGAATGGGAAAGGGGGATACGAGGTGTTGGGGATGGGGGCGGGGTATGATTGGAATTTTAGAAAGAGTGGCCAGGAAAGGCCTCGCTGAGAAGATGAGGGTGGAGGACGTAAGGGGTGAAGATGGAGATACTGGGGAGAACATTCTAGGCAGAGGGCTCAGCTGTTGCAGAGGCCGTAAGGTGGAGGTGAGTGTGGTGCATCCATGGAGCAGGGAGGAGGAGGCCGGAGTGCCTGGAGCAGAGTGAAGGAGGAACAGCAGAGGTGAGGTGTGAGAGGCCTCACAGGGAGGCCTATCAAGTAGGGTCTGAGGCCATTGTGAGGGCTTGGTCATTTATTCTGAGAAAAACAGGCCCCTCTGGAGCATTTGGAGCAGAGCAGGGCCATGCTCTGACTGACACTGAGAAGCTGCAGTCTGGCTCCTGTGTCATTCTGCCTTAAAGGGGGGGTGAGGACAAGAAGCAGGGAAACCAGGAAGGAGACAACTGCCATAGTCCAGGCGAGAGAAAATGGCACCCTGGGCCAGGGTGGCAGCTGTGGAGGCGGAAAGAAGTGGTCAGATTTTAGGTATATTTTTAAGGTAGAGATGGCAGGATTTGCTAAGGGGTTGGAGGGAGGTGTGAGAGAAAGGACCCTGGGTGGTGCAAACAGTTAATGCACTCGGCTGCTAACTGAAAGGTTGGTGGTTCAGGTCCACCCAGAGGCGCCTAGGAAGAAAGGCCTGGCCATCAACTTCCAAAAAACTAGCCACTGGAAACCCTGTGGTGCGCAGTTCTACCCTGACACCCACAAGGTCGTCATGAGTTAGGTTGCCATGAGTCAGAGTTGACTCCACAGAAGCTGGTGGTGATGGTGGTGGGAGAGAAACAGATGTCTCCAGCAGTTCTGACCTGAGCAACTGTTAGGATGGCGCTGTCATCAGGGAGACGGGGATGACTGAAGGAGAAATAGTGGTTTGTTTGCTTTTTTTGGTGGAAAGACCAGGGGCTCAGTTCTGAGCATGTTAGTTTGAGGTATCTAGGGGATTTCACATGGGGATGTGGGGGGGAGGCAGGGCTGGGAACATGACTTAGGGAGCCGTGGGCAGGGGGATGGGACGGGCTCAGAGCATCGAGGGAGGGAGTGCAGATGGAGAGAGGGGGATGGAGGGGGCTGAGCCAGTTCACGCTGCTGGGTTGTCAGTCACCTGCTTCTCTCTCCTCCTGAGTCTCTCCTCTCTTGCTGGGACTGTTCTCACCACGTTTCCTTGGTCTCTTTGTCTCTCCATCTCTGCGTGCCCATCTCTGTGTCTCTCCCCAGCTCCAGCACCCCCTCCCGCCCGCAGCCCCCCTCCCCCTCCGCCCTGCAGTCAGTCTGCGGGCGATTGGCGGGATAGCAGGCAGCAGGCGTCGGCCCCGGGCAGGGGTCTCACCGGACGGGCCGGTTGGCGGCGTCGGGGTCCCGCGCAGTCACCACGCCGACCAGGGAGCCCACCTGCGCGTCTTCCTGCACCTCCAGGAGGCCGGAGGGCGGCTGGAACTCGGGGGGCTCGTCCACGTCGGTCACGGCCACGCGCACGATCGCCTGGTCGCGGAACGTGCCCAGGTCGGCGAAGCGGGGGTCCACGAACTTGTTGAGGGCTTCCAGGACCACAGTGTGCACCGACTGGGACTCGAAGTCCAGGCGCTGGGGGGCGGGGGACAGAGGCCGGTAAGTGGGCTGGGGTCTGCTCCGACAGTGGCCGCCGCCCGCAGATCCCAAGCCCCTCTTGCTCTCTGAGTCAGGGAGGTGGCCCCAGAGGGCAAGAATGGCCCAAGGCCACAGTGACCCAGCAGTGGTGCCCAGAGTGTCTGAGCTGCACCACGGAACTGGCTGTCAGAGACCAAAACCAACCCTCTGGGATTACAGGTGGGGAAACTGAGGCCTTGAGGGGAGAGAGTCTTGCCTAGGGACACGCAGCCAGTCAGGGCTAGAAGGGTCCTGAACTGAACCCAGACTTCCCACCCCCCAGCACGGTATGTTGGGGCATTTCATTAATTTATTTAACAAACACTTATACAAAGCACTATGTGCCAGCACTTTATGAACTCACGTAATTTTACAACAACCCTAAGAGGCTTATACTCTTACCTTTCCCACGTTACAGATGAGGAAATTGAGGCCCAGAGAAGCTCAGTAACTCGCCCAACACCATTTAGCAGTTAGACACTAGCAAAGGCAGGATCTGAATCCAGGCAGTGTGACTCCAGACTCCCCACTCTTAACCCCACGAAAGGAAAGGGCACTGAATCTGATGTCACACCAACCTGGGTTCAAAGCCTGGCTTTGCCACTGACTAGCTGTGTGAGCAGGGCAACCTATTTAGTCTCTCTGGGACTCAGCTGGGAGGATTAAATGAGACAGACATCCCCCAGTACATGTTGCTGTTAGGTGCCATTGATCCTGACTCATAGCCACCCTGTCTGTCAGAGTAGAACTGCCCCAGAGGGTTTCCTAGGCTGCAATCTTTACGGGAGCAGATGGCCAGGTCTCTTCTCCCGTGGAGCCACTGGGTGGGTTTGAACTACCAACCTTTGGGTTAGCAGCCGAGTGCTTAATTAACCATTGCGCCACCAGGGCTCTTTCCCCGGTACATAGGAGGGAGCAGTTAATGTGAGTTGAGCTTGAATTGGCCAGACAGCATTTAGAGGTTTCTGCTGAGATCTGACTACTCCCAGGCAGGGGCTGTGCTTCTCACCATGCCTGCTAATGCGTGACCCTCTGATGAATTAGCTCCATGTCTGTGTGCTGGCTCTGGCCTTCTAAAGACAATGTCTTACTGCCAAGAGAAATACTGATGGTGGAACTGCAGGCACCCGATTGCATGCTGGAGGAGCTATCTGAGTGACAACAGTGACCTTCCTAGACACCCACGAGTGGATGCCTGCCCTGTGTGTAGGGACCCTCCCTTTCTCCCAGACATCCCCACACCCCAGTCCCCATGTCCCAGCCAGCCCCTGGCAGCAGCTGCCTCTGCCCTCCATCCTGTTGCCTGGGCAATCAGGATGCAGGCAGGCAGTGGCCTGGCCTGGGAGTGAGCGATGGGTTCTGGAGCCAGATCATCAATCAGGCGGGGGCTCTGCTCCCGAGCAGCACTGCCTCCATAGAGACACCTCAGGCGCCACTGCTGGAGCAGGAGGAGGGACCCGGGGTGGGGCGGGGGGTGCCACCGCAGGGGATGAGAGCAACGCAGCGCTGGAGTCTCCAGGCTGGGGTTGGGGTCTGGCTCTACTGTTCTGCAATGCTGGGCCTCTCTGGGCCTCCAATTCCCCATCTGTGAAATGGGCTCATCTTACAGTGAGGACAAATGGAGATCCAAAGACTGAAAACTGCATAGTGCTTTAGAGGGTGGATTCTGGAGCCAGACTTCCTGGGTCCATATCCCTGCTCTGCTCTGCTGGATGCATGACTGTGGGCAAGTTACTCCTCGGGGCCTCAGTTTCTCACCTGTAAAATGGACAATAATAGCACCTTAGAGGGTTGTTGCAGGGACAGAATGAATTCATACGTGGAAAGCAGGTGAAAGGTGCCTGGCATGTGGCAAGCACTTTAAAGGTATTAGCTATTTCAGTAACACATGAGAAGGCCGGAACCTGTGTAAGGGGGAAACCTGTCAGAGAAGGAAAACGCAAATATTTTCTGCTAAAATGAGCCATAGAAAAGTGGTAAAACTGTACCCTGTCAAAGGTGGAAAACCTGTGAGACCCAGAAAAGCAAGGCAGTTGTGTCGAGTTCTGGCTGTCACAGGTTTCCGTCTTACCCTCTGGGAAGTAGCCGAGGAACTTTGAGCGATCCCTGTCCTCAAACCCTAAGTGCCAGGTAGAGGTGTGTCATTAAGTGCCTGCTGGGTATACAAAGGGCCGTCCCCGAGCCAAGGGCAGACATTTCTGTGGGTCCCGAAAGGCAGAGCCCAGGCTGAGAGGAGCAGATTTAGGGAGATGGGTTCTTACTGAGAGGGAGGAGAAGAGCTGGACAATGTCAGGGAGTGAGCACCCCACCCCTGGAGGTATGCAAACATTTTATGGGCCAGTGCAGGGGGATTTAAACCTCCCATGGGACAGTGGAGTTGGAGTGAATAGTCTTAAAGGCCCGTGCAGCCCTGAGTTCTAAGCCCATGACCGAGTCGTGGAAGACGGGAATTTTACTTCTTTATCTGGCCTCCATCCACTCTCCCTAAGGATGCCTGAGTTTGCACGTTTAGATTCTGGTTCCTGAGCCAGTCACTGGGTGAGGAAGGCTGTTAGACTCAGGAAGGAAAGAACTTTGGAGTCACCAGACCTGGGTTCAAATCCTGACTCTGCCCCTTACAGGTGGGATCTTAGGCAAGCCCTTTTACTTTCTGAACCTCTGTTTGCTCATTTGTAAGAATGGGGATAATGACATTTCCCCCAGTGGGAGGCATGAGGATTAAAGGAAATAAGAAGTGTGAAGGGCCTGGCCCAGAGTTGAAGGAGCATATCACTATCTTTAAGAGCATGAACACAGAATCCAGACTCTCTGGAGCCATTGAGGCTGGATAAGTCCCTGAAACTACTGCCCCGAGATCATCTTTAACCCTGAAACCATAAACCAAAAGTACCTCCTGAAGCCTCCTTTAAATCAAACAACAGCCTTAACTGTAAACTCTTCTAAGGAACTTACTATATGGGATCAAACTGTTAACAGCAACCTGAAAAGTTAGATAGGAAGCTTAGGGGGAAGTGAGTCTGTGTCAACAGGGTAGGAACAAATCAGAAAAGGAGAGTGACAATTGTTGCACAATTTAAAGAATGTAATCAGTATCACTGTATGATACATGTAGAAATTATTGGTGTTATGTTTTGCTATGTATATTCTCAACAACAATTAAAAAAAAAAAAAAAGGAGCACAAATGCAAACCTGGATTGCATCCTAGCTCTGCCAACTAGCTGTGCAACATTGGAGAAGTCACTTAACCTCTCCGTGCCTCATTTGTAAATTGGGAAAGATACCATCGGTGTTTTCCTAGGTTAGTCCTGGGTGGGGGAAAACCTAAAGCCGGAGGTGGAGTGGGGTGGAGGGATTTGGCTGCTCAGAGGCCTCCCTAAGGCCTCGGCCCCTGGGCCCTGCCTCCCCCATCCCTCCTGGGGCAGCGCACCTTCTGCACTAAGATGATGGCCTCCTGAGTGTCGCTGTCCGTGGTGACCTTGAACACATCTCCGCCGCTGCCACTCTCCTCCTTGAGGTGGTAAGTCATGTCTGTGTTCTCGCCCACGTCTGAGTCCTCAGCCTTCACTCGCCCCACGGCTGTGCCAATGGGGGCCGACTCCTTGATGTTGAACAGGTACATCTCTGAGGGGGACACGGCCATGAGCAGTGTGGGGGTAGACCCTACCCTGGCCTCTACAAGCTCGCGGGAAAGGAAGAGGGGGTCCAGATGGGCCTCCAGGGAGGGGCAGTGTTTCCAAGGGGCTCCCAGCTTGGCCATCATGGGGACAGGGGAAGGTGTGTTCCCTGCAGAAATGTGGGAGGTGGTGCAAAGGGGAAGACCCTATTCTGCTGTTGTTGTTAGGTGCTGCTGAGTCCGTTTCGACTCATGGAGCCCTCATGTGGCAGAGGAGAACTGCCCCATAGGGTTTTCTATGCTGTAATCTTTACAGAAGCAGATCGCCAGGGCTTTCTCCTGTGGAGCTGCTAGGTGGCTTCCAACCACCAACCTTTTGGTTAGCAGCTGAGCACTTAACCATTTCTCCACCAGGGCTCCTAGTGGGGTCCAATTCTAATCCCGAGTTTATTTGCTGATTGACTTGGGAAAGTCCCTGTAATTCTTTGGGCCTCAGTTTTCCCATCTGCCCAATGACGGGGATAGAATAGCACTGTGGTAAATAAGTCAAGGCTCTGAAATCCGTCCTAGCTCTGTAATCCTGAGCCTCGGTTTCCTCATCTATATAATGGGAAAAATAATAGTACCTTTCTTAAAACAGAGTAGACATAATATTAAAACAACCGGATTATATTACTTATTAATTGCATTGTTTGTTTACATTATTGGTTTCATTTTCAATAGACAGCATTATATTAAATTAGAATAACTGGGAAGAATAATAGTACCTTTCTAGCAGTATTGCTGTTATGACAATGAACTTAGATGATGATATATGTAAAATGCTTAGTGCAGTGCCTAGCACATGCTTGAAAAGTGGAACAAACTGTATTAAAATGGTGGTGCTTCCTACTGATTTTGCTGTTGATTTTTTTTTAACAAGCTGTTGATGTTAATGGCATTTATTCCTCCACTGCAGCAGATTTATTGAGCACCTGTGATGTCCCAGGCGCAGTTCTAGGCATTGGGTTACAGCAACAAACACAAGACAAAACTTCCAGCTTTCACAGTGCTCTCCTTTTAATGGCAGGAGACAGACGCTAACAATCACATCAGTAAACCATACAGTATGTCAAACGCTGATGGGTACTTAGGAGAAAAATAAAGCAGGAAAGGGGGATAGGGAGTGCTGATGGGGGCTTGTGGGGTGATCAAGAAAGCCTCGCTGAGGAGATGGCATTTTTACAAAGGCCTGAGGGAGGTGAGGGAGTGAGTCAAGCAGAGATCTGGGAAAGAGCACTCCAGACAGAGGGGACAGCAGGTGCAAAGGCCCTGGGGTGGGTGCAATGCATGTTTGAAGAATGGCAAGATGACCATGGTGACTGTAGGCGAGAAGCATAGGGGAAACCAGAAGGATGAGGTCACATGGGATGCAAACAATTCTCCTCCAAGAGAGGTGAGGATGAATTAGATGGGCCAGCCCAGGGGAAGCAGGGGTTGTGGGGAGGGAGATGTGGCTTTTGGAGACATGCCCCTTATGTGGAGTGACAGCCTCCATTTCATTAGCACACAGCAGCCAGAGGGCTCTTTCTGCAACACAACTGACCATGTCACTCCCTTGCGTAAATCCCTTCTGTAGCTCCCTGTCGCCTTCGGGATGAAGTCAGGCAACCTCTACAAGATGCCTGCTGCCTGGCCCCTTCTGTCTTCTCCAGCCTCATCCTCCTCCATCCCCAACTCTAACTTCAGCCTGGCTGAAGTTCTTGTAATTCCTCAAATGTGACTTGCTCTCTGTCACCTCCAGGCACTCCCTCTCCCCGTTCTCTTCTTTGCCATTGCCTCCCCAATTCCCACTCTGCCTTCTAGTCTCGATGAATGTTACTTCCTCTTGGGAACCTTCCCAGACTTCCAGGCTCAGCTCCTGTGCTCCTATGGCCCCCAAGCGTTCCCTGCTATAGGGATTACTGCATTTTACTATCATTTTCTGTTTATTCTCTCTCTCCTGGGTATCAGTGCCTGGAAGGCAGGGACTGCATCTCTTATTCATCAGGCATCCTCAGTGCCTGGCAGAATACCAGACTGTCGCTTAAATGAAATGTGTGAGTGACTTGTGAGTGAATGAATGAAAACCAAGATAAGTTACCTGTATACACTCACCAGATTAACACAAATTAAACAGTCTGACAATACCAAGTGTTGGCGAGGATGTGGTGCAGTGGATGCTCACATTTCTTCAGGGTGGAGAAAGAGTTTGGCTTTACTTAGAAAAACTGAAGGCGAGTATGTCCCAGGGCCCAGCAATTCCACTCATCTGTATATACTAGAGAAATACGTGCAAATAGGCACCAGGAGACATCTACAAAAATGTCCAAAGCAGTATCCTTCATAATAGCCCCAAACTGGAAACAACCCCAATGTCCACCAATAGTGGTTTGCACAGTTGACACCACATGTGTGTCAGAGCAGAACTGCTCCATAGGGTTTTCACTGGTTGATCTTTTGGAAGTAGATCACCGGGCCTGTCTTCCAAGGTGCCACTGAGTGGTTTTGCTAGTAGTCGAGTGCTTAACCTTGGGGCCACCTAGGGACTCCTCCCGTCAAGAGTAGCATAGATGAATTGTGGTCTGTCCATACAATGGAATACTATACAACAACGATAATGAACAAATTATAGCTACAAGCAACAACATAGATGGACTTCATTAACATAATTTGAGAGCCAAAATAGCAAGAAACAAAATACTTTATACTGTATGCTCCCACTTACATAAGATTCAAAAGCAGGCAAAATTAAACTACAATGTTTGGTGATACATACCTAGGTGAACAGACCCTAAAGGAAAGCAAGTGAATGATTATCACAAAAGCAGATGGTGGAGGAGGAGGATGGAGGAGAAGTTATGACCAGGAAAAGGCATGTGGGGCCTTCTGGGGTCCTGGCTTGGTGCTTAATGGGGTGTTTGATCTATAATTATTTGTTAAAATGGACATTTATATTTCATGCCCTTCTATTTGTGTGCCGGGTGGCACAAATGATTAAGCACTGGGCTACTAACCGAAAGGTTGGCAGTTTGAACCCACCCAGAGGTGCCTCAGAAGAAAGGCCTGGCCATCGGCTTCCAAAAGGTCCCAGTCATGAAAACCCTACGGCTCACGGTTCTACTCTGCACACATGGGGTCGTCATGAGCAGGAATTGACTCGATGGCAACTGGCTTGACTGTTTTATTTCTGTGCTATATTTCACAATATAAAAAACTCCACCAAACTGGTTACCATCAAGCCGACTCCAACTCATAGCGACACTGAAGGACAGAGTGGAACTGCCCCATCGGGTTTCCAGAAGTGCCTGGTGGATTTGAACGGCCAACCTTTTGCTTAGCAGCCGTAGCTCTTAACCACTGTGCCACCAGGGTTTCTCATTTCACAGTATAGAAATATTTTTAAAAGAGAAAGAAATGAATGAATGAATAAACAATTGTCTTCCTGGGGCCCTGGCCTCCTCCTCTCTGCTCTGCCCACCCCTTCCAGCTCAGAGCTGGCACTGAATCTGGCACAATGGGCAGGAGACTGGGTTCCCTCACTTCTCTGCATGGTGCTTTGGAGCTCCCTATCAGTGGGTGGGGGCTGGGCTGGGGGAGCGGGCAGTGGCCAGCTCTGTGCGGGCTCCCTGATGATGTGGCATTGGCGGCGGTTCTGCCCACCCCATTCTGTCAGGGCTGAGGCACTAGGCCGCGATGCTGTGCACGCTCAGCTCAAGGACTGGATTCCCTTATCTCGCGGGGGTCAGTCCCCTGTGGCGGGGCCTAATGTGAGAGCAGCAGACCTCGGGTAATGACTCGCCCGATAGGTATCAGCCCAGCTCCCCGCGGCATTCAGTCTCTGCCAGCTCCAGCGGCTTCCCTGGTGGCTCTCAACGCTGGCCGGTCCTCAGCCTGGGACAAAGGGGCAGGCTGGGCCGACTGGGGTAGCGGGCCAGGTCAGAGAACCCCACCCCCACTATGTGAGGAAAAGCAGAGGGTAGAAGGAGTCCCTAATTCAAGAGTACAGAATCCTACTTTCACAGCTCAGAGCAGGAGGGCAAAGCTGTCGTTCCCGACCTAGTGTCTCCACTCCCAAAAGTGGGTGTCCCTGTGCCTGGGGGTGGCTGCAGCCTCTGTCGTCATCCCGATGTGACCCCCTCACTTCCATCCACAAGCTTGGATCAGGAGCATGTGGCAGCTCACTGCGCAAGAAAGAGTGGGGGCGGTGCAAGGGGTGATGGGCAGACTGGTGGACAGGTGGAGCTCACTCTGTGCGGGAAGCGAAGTGAGGGGTGGGAAGGTATCTGCACTACTTGGATTATTGAAAATCAGCCACATTTTGGGCCTTCCTCTGCAAGAAGCATAATTGTGTGGGGGTGGGGGTGGGGGTGGTGGTGGTGGTAAAAGGTGATTTGGGTGGATAGACAGACAGATGGGAGCCTCTCTTTTGGCGGGAAGCCTAAAAGGAGGCTGGGAGGTCAGTGGGTGGCTTGGATGGATTAACAGATAGACACCTACAGTGGCCTGCCCCCATGGACACCCAATGAGGAGGAGTGCTGAGGGTCACCAGGTGGCCCAAATGGACAGACACACAGATGGTGGCCTCCCACCGGGAAGGCCTCACTCACTCTGCGGGAATCGGGGCGGGTTGTCGTTGACGTCAGTGACCACGATGGTGACAGTAGTGGAACCTGAGAGGCCGCCCAGCTGGCCCGCCATGTCCATGGCCTGGATCACCACCTCATAGCGCTCCTGGCTCTCTCGGTCAAGGTCAGGTACAGCTGTCCGGATCACACCTGTGGGTGAATGAAGTGAAGCCGAGGATGCTCCCACAAGCTCCAGCTAGTATGGAGACCCCTCCCATGAGGCTGAGGCAGGTTCAGATCTGGTGAGCTCTGGGTCAAGCTCAGGAGGGGAGTGGGTGATGCCAAAGACACTGATATGGTCACAAAGAATGTGCAGGGCTCGGCAGCCATCACACACTCACACACACACCCACACACATATGCTCTCACACATACACTTACATACTCATACACATGCTCACACAACCACACAATACACGTCTACACAAACAGACACATATACACTCCCATATTCAAACATACACGTACACTCACACACATATACTCTCACACATACATACACTCACATACACACTCTCACACAACCACACAATACACATCTACACACAGACACGTATACACTCCCATATTGAAACATACACATACACTCACACACATACACACACACACACTCTTGCACACCCACACCCACACACTCACACATACACTCACATACTCTTACATGCTCTCACACACACACACACACTTACACATATACTACCTATCCCCTACTCTCTCTCACACACACACACGAACCTGTCACTGTGTGACCCCTCCTGGGCCACCAATCTCACTCTCTGGGCCTCAGTTTCCTCATCTGAAGGTGAACCCTGATGCTATGCATGAACCTGGGCTGTGTCTGACTTGTCAGTGGCCCTCAGCCCAGAGCCGCAGCGTGGTGAGTGCCTGTCAGAGTGGACTGGACTCACCCACCACATCCATGTCCACTCACTGAAGCGTCATGCTCACCTGTACACGGCATATTTCACACACGTACTATAATCCATACACAGAAACACACACAAAGTCACACACACATGCACACTCATAGCTGCTATCACACACTCTTACTCACACACGCGCACCCCTCCACGATCAAAGCATCCCCGTCAGCCCCAGGGTCCCCAGCTGCCTCCCCCACCCCCTGGCCCCAGATTCCCTGTCCAGGAACCAGCTAATCTCTGAACAGACAACCCGCTAAACTGTTAACGGAAGCAGGGGTAGGGGCAAGAGTGGGGGTGCCTGCAAGATGAAGTCTGTGGTGGAGAAGGCTGGGCTTCTTGTCTCCCTGCTAGCAGAAGAGGCTGGGCTTGGGGGTGGGGGAGTTGATGAAGCATTCCGCGCCTCTCCTGCCACCGACTCCAACCTGTCGAGCACCAGGTGGTGGCAGGTGGTGCGCAGGGCCTGAGCGCCGGCTGGAGTCATGCACCAGCAGCCCCTTGATGTGTCTCATAAAACCCAAGCACTGACTCCGATGTCCCCAAACAGCTCACAGACTCCAATAAAGGCAATGGGACTGGAGGAAAAGCTGTGTGTGTGTGTTTGTGCGAATACTTCTGTGTGTAGCTGGGCTGGGCCTACAGGTGGCTCTGTTTTTAGGGGCTCACAGAGACACGGAATGGGTAGTCATATGTAATCAAAGGTTATTGGCCTTCTTCACGGCCCCTCAACAGCCCCCCTCCGTATCCCTCCTCTGCTCGGGCTGGTCTTTCCAGGGACAAGTGAGATAAATCCTAGGGCTGCTATTTTTCAGCCATGTGATCTTAAGCAAATCTCTTCGCCTTTCTGAACCTCAGTTTCCTTATCTGTAAAATGGGGACAACCATGATCCCTGCCTAAAGAACAGGGTTTCCCACCCTCAACACTATTGACATCTGGGGTGGGATAATTATTTCTCGGGGAGGAGAGGCTGTCCTGTGCATTGCGGGATGTTTAGCAGCATCCTTGGCCTCTACCCACTAGCTGCCCCAGTTGTGACAACGAGCAATGTCTCCAGACATCACCAAATGGCCCCTGGGGGTAAAACTGGTTGAGAACCACTGAGAGCCACTGGTGCAGGATTTCTCCTCAAGAGAATTGCATATAATAACAACAGTAACTAACATTTGTGTGTATTTACTCTGCCGGGCACTGTTCTAAGCATCTTAAGTGGATTGTCTCGGTTCATCCTCTCAACACCCCTATGAAGGAGGTGCTGTGATTACCCCCATTTTACAGATGAGGAGATGGAGGCACAGAGAAGCTGAGTACCTTGCCCAAGGTTGCACGTGTAGAAAGTAGTGCAGCAAGGATTCAAACAGGCATTCTGGTGCCAGAGCCCACGCTCTGAACTGTCTTGCTGTAAGAATGGCATCTTTGGACAATTGTCCAGGACAGCAAAAGTGAAAACAGTAAGGTCTCTTAAGGCTGAGTCTTGAAAGCTGCACGGCATTGCTTCTGCCACATTCTATTGGCCAAAGCAAGCCACAAGGCCAGCCCAGATTCAAGGGGTGGGGAAATAGACTCCACCTCTTGATGGGAGGAGTGGCAAACTCACACTGCAAGGAGGCTGTACACAGGGATGGAAGGAATTCATGGCATGTTTTGCCTTCTACTACGTACTGCTCCCCACTCCACCTCCTGATGCGGGGAGAAGCATCATGGAGGTTGTTGCACTCCTGGGAGTCTGGGATAAAAAGTCCCAAATCGGTCCATGAAGCTGTTCACAAAACCCCCTGGCTCTGCAAATTCTTTCATTCACTCATTCATTTATTAGACCCTCATTGAGGGCCAGGGCCAAAAGGAGGGAGTTTAGAGTCACATAGATGTGGTCTCAAGTCTTCTTTCCATCATTTACTTGCTATCAGATCTTCGGCAAGTTCTTGAGTCTCTGAGCCTCAGTGTCGTATTCTGTAAAATGGGCATACCTACTCAGTAGGGTTGCTGAGAGGACAAAATGAGACAAAACTTCCAGGAGAGGGTTTTGCATTTGGAGATACCTCACAGATACCCCTTCTTAAGTCCTGGGTTGGGCACCTCATAAATAAGGCGCCCATGGAAGCAGCAGTCAAATCAAACAACGTATTGCATTGGGCAAATCTGCTGCAAAAGACCTCTTTAAAGTGTTCAAAAGCAAAGATGTCACTTTGAGGACTAAGGGATCCCTGGCTCAAGCCATGGTATTTTCAATCGCCTCATCTGCATGCAAAAGCTGGAGAATGAATAAGGAAGACCAAAGAAGATTGATGCATTTGAATTATGGTGTTGGTGAAGAATATTGGCTATACCATGGCCTGCCAGAAGAATGGACAAATCTGTCTTGGAACAAGTACAACCAGAATGCTCCTTGGAAGCGAGGATGGCGAGACTTTGTCTCATGTACTTTGGACATGTTATCAGGAGGGACCAGTCCCTGGAGAAGGACATCATGCTTGGTAAAGTAGAGGTCAGTGAAAAAGAGGAAGACCCTCAATGAGACGGACTGACACAGTGGCTGCAAAATGGGCCCAAACATAGACTGTGAGGATGGCGCAGGACTGGGCAGTGTTTTGTTCTGTTGTGCATGGGGTCGCTATGAGTCGGAACCAACTCAATGGCACCTAACAATAACAACAACACCGATCCCCTTTCTCAAGTCCTGGGTTGGGTACCTCATAAATAAGTTCCATGAGGACAAAGACCCTTGCTGGTCTTGGCCATTGTCTCATCTATAGGACCTGGTACACAGCAAGTGCTCAATAAACATTTTGACTCACTGACTGACTCCCACAGCCCCACTGCCTCCCCTCTCAGCTTGGGTGTGGTTGTCTAGTTGTTTCTGGCTTCTCTGTTAGAACACAAGTTCTGAGAGGGCAGAGCCCAGGGCTAGTTCATCATCTTGACTCTAGGATCTGGCCCTTGGAAGGTTCTCAACAACTGTTAGTTCTGTTCCCTCTCGAGAAAGCTGACATCTCTGGCCCAGTTGGGAATTTTCATCGGAGATCTTGAAGTCTCGGAGAGAATCTTTCTATTTATGTGGGGTGGTGGTGGGCAGGGGCTGGTAATTATAATCCAACCATGGTTCCCTGCAGCCTGTCCTCACCCATCGCCCCCAGTTCCAGCTGTTGTCCTCGACGCCCCCGCTGCCCCCTCCAAAGGCGGCAGAAGGAGCCACGGGAGCCCGTGTGATGCCTCATTAGCCTGCAAATGCCATCCCTGTCGCCCCTGTGGGGGGCTTGCCAGCAGACCTGGCCTTTAAAACACACAAGTTAATTCCTCTGCTGGCACTGGGGTCTCGTGGCGCCCCACCTCCTCCTTCCCTCACACCTTCCTCTCAGGCCCCCTTTCCGGCTCTGCTCCCTGCTATCTGCACAGCGAGAACAGACTGTACCTCACAGTAGCTGCTAAATATAGACCCACATCAGCGGAATATTCCTGGCTGGGGAAATGGAGCTGGGGCTGGGAATGGCACCAGGGCGGCTCCTGTCGTGGGACTGTGGGTAGGGGGAGGAAAAATCTGGTCTTTTCTGGAAAATGTCTAGAAGAACCCTTTCAGACTGAGAAGGTTGAGGGATCCTTCTTTCTCCAGAGACTCCAAGAATGAGGACCCCACCTGGACGCCTGTACCTGCCTTGCTTGGTGCCCACCTCCTAGCCTCCTGGGAATGGTTCTTGGCCTCCCAGGCACTCCAGGCCTGCCACTTGCCACCCTCCTCCTCCCGACTCTCTGCAGTGGGAGATGCTCTTTCTTGGAACTTGGCTTCCCTCCTCACTCTCTCAGAGTCCAATCCGTCATCTGCTCATCCCTGCCACTTCCCAAAACTCAGTCCTGGTCCTTCGCTTACTTCTGTGTCCTCTCTCTTCCTCCCCCTGAAAGCTGAGCAACTCTAAGGTCCCCGCCTCCACCAGCTAAATGGATGAAGGCTTCATCATCTCCATTTACGTTTATGCACCAAGAATTGTGCCGCCCACTTTCCCCGCTTGCTGTTCCCTCAGCCTGCAGTGCTCTTACACCAGATATCTGCACGGCTCCCGCGCTCACTGCGTTCAGGTCTCTGTCCCCATGCCACCTCCCCAGAAAATGTGTCCTGGTTTCTTAATCTAAGTCTACCCCCTTACCCTGCTTGATGTTTCTTCCTTGCCCTAACCACCACTTGTCTTTATGTTATACGTTAATATGCTTATTTTCTGCAGCCTGTATTTGAATTAAAGCCTCATGAGGGTAGGGTCTTTGATCTGCCTACTGCTGCATCTCCAGGGCCCAGAGCAGAGCCAGGAACACAGTAAAACCGGTTGCCATTCAGTCGACTCCAACTCATGGCAACCCCATGTGTGTCAGAGTAGGACTGTGCTCCTTAGGGTTTTCAATGGCTGATTTTTCAGAAGTAGACCACCAGGCCTTTCTTCTAAGGTGCCTCTGGGTGGACTTGAACCTCCAACCTATTGGTTAGCAGCCAAGCGTGTTAACCGCTGGCACCACCCAGGGAATCCAAGCACATAGTAGGCACTCAATAAATACTTGTTGAATGGATGAATGAATTCTCCCATTGACTCCTTGCAACAATCATGTCAGGTGAGCACATGGGGAAACCAAAGCTTAAGGAGCCCTAACCGTTCTCAGAACTCTAAGGCCATATTTCAGACAGCCTGCTAGTTGTTCTAGGTATTCCTTTTTCCTTTTCTGTCATCACCTTAAAGCCAATATGGTTCAAATTGAATTCTCTAGCCCTGCACCAGATCCTGGGACACATTCGCTAATTCCTCTGCTCCTTAATCCACATTCCTCCTGTTTTTGTAGGTGGTGCCCCTTCCCCTACCAGTTCCCAAAGTTAGGAGCCCCCTGGATTCCTCTCGCAGTCATGCATACTCGCCGAGGCTCCAAGTTCTGGTGGTCTGCTCTCTGCAGGCTCTCACCATCATCCCCCAGTCTCCCTCCTCTGCACCTTAGCTACCCTTCGCTATCAGTCCTTTACCACCTCTGCCCTCCTCACTAGACGAGCAGGTGAGGAGTCGGGTGGACACCAAGAAGAAGCAGGCTTTTGGTTTTTGTCTTTTGGGGCCCCATGCTGGGTACCCCAGGCTCTGGGTCTCAGTGCCTCCAATTCCCGCCTCTGAGCCACGCTCTCCAGCAGCAGCAGCCCAAGGGATCTTGTTAAAATGAAAACCTGAGCATGTCACTTCCCTGCTTAAAAGCCATCAATGAACCCCAGTGTTGGTGAGGAGGAGGTGAGAGAGACACTCTCTCCCATGGCTGGCGGGAGTGTAATCTGGCCCATTTAGGCAATATCTATCAAGATTCCAAATGCACATGCTCTTTGACCCAGCTTTCCCACTTCCCGAAAATTATCCTGCAGACATGCTTACACAAGCGCAAAATGATGTATGTACGAGATTATTCATTATAGCATTGTTCATTGTAGCAAAGGATTGAAAACAGCATAAGTGTCCATCAACAGAGGACTGAAGAAATAAATTTTAGTGTATCCATAACAGCAGTTAAATAAAAGAATGAGGAAGCGCTTTAGGTACTGATATGGAATAATCTTCGGGATGTACCGTTAAGTGAAAAAGGCAAGCAGTGTGTATGGCATGTGCGTGTAGCTACTGTTCACATAAGAAAAATAAAACAAATACATGTACCTATTCTCTTGTACATGCACAGAATATCTTTGGAGAGACACGCAATTGGTTGCCTTAGGGACAGAGACTGGGTGGCTGGGGGACTGGATGGGGTAAAGAATTATCACTAAATGCCTTTTTGGACTCTTTGAATTTTGAACACTGAAATGTATTAGCTTTTAAAAATAACTTGATTTTTTCAAGCAAGTGAGTCCAGGATTTTATAGGATATGCATACCAAGTGGCTACCTTTGGGGCTTCATTTACTGGGAGTGGAGGATGGGAAGCACTTTCATTTTCTATTTTTTACATTTCTTCGTTTGAATGTTTTCCAAAATATATTACTTTTGCAAGGAAAGAGAGAGAGACAGGAGAAAAACGAACACAGAACAAAACAAACACACAAAACGCCCAAATCCATCCAGGCCCCGTCCCGTTGCCAGGAGAATGAAACACAAGCTCCTTAGCCTGGTTTACACTCCACACAGCCAGCCTCTTCCTTCACCTCCCAACACTCCAGCGTCCCCAAACCTGAGTTGCTTACAATTCCCCTCATGCCTCAGACTGTGTTCTTCCTCCCAGCCCTTGCCTGTGCCATGCCCTCTGCCTGGAATACCCTTCTCTGCAATCTCAGTCTGGCCAACACCGACAATTATCCTTTGGAGATCTGTTGCTACCACCTCCAAGAAGCCTGACATCCTAATCTCCCCTGTATATGCTTGTCCCCTGCCCCCACCGAACTGTGAGCCCCATGAAGCCATTTGCTAAACTGTCTGTGGAGTCTGGTGTCCCCTCTCCTGCCTTCACTCCTGCCCTGTTCCTCCTATATCAAGGGGACCATGAGACACCACCGCCCATGGAATCCACAGCCACTTCCAGTTGGGTGACCTCAACTGAGTCACTGCACATCTCTCTGAGCCTCAGCCTCTTCTTCTGTCTGTCCTCCCTGCCTCTCCCAAGACCCTGAGAAATGTAATCAAGTTCTAACCTCACAGGGAGCAAAGTGGTGGACGGTGGGTGGGGGTGCTGCTCCACTGTTTGGTGGTGTTGGGGAAGGGGACGAGAAAGAAGTCACCCATCCATAAGTCTCTGTCTCTCCTCAAATGACGTTTTGCCAGATCCTTAACAACTGTCGTGTGAACAGAGCTTTCAAAGTTGCTGAAAAGGTGCCCTTCAGGTTGAATGGACATGGGGACTCGGGTGGAAAGGAGGAGTGTGCTGTCGCAGTAGGGGGTGAGCAATTAGGGTCACATAACAATGTATGTATAAATTTTTGTATGGGAGACTAACTTGAAATGTAAACTTCATTTAAACTACAACAATTAAAAAAAAGGGGGGGGGTAAGGGAGAAGAACAACAAAAAGAAAGACCGAAGAAGAATTGATGGCTTTGAATTATGGTGTTGGTGAAGAACACTGAATATACCATGAACTGCCAGAAGAACGAACAAATCTGTCTTGGAAGACGTACAGCCAGAATGCTCCTTAGAAGCAAGGATGGTGAGATTTTGTCTCACGTACTTTGGACATGTTATTGGGAGGGACCAGTCCTTGAAGAAGGACATCATGCTTGGTAAAGCACAGGGTCATCGAAAAAAGAAGACCCTCAATAAGATGGATTGGCACAGTGGCTGCAACAATGGTCTCAAACATAGCAAAGATTGTGAGGATTTAGCAGGACCGGGCACTGTTTCCTTTTGTTGTTATTATGGATTGAATTATGTCCCCCCAAAATGTGTGTCAACTTGGCTAGTCCATGATTCACAGCATTATGTGATTGTCCACCATTTTGTCCTCTGATGTTGTCATCTATGTGTTGTAAATCTTACCTCTATGATGTTAATGAGGTAGGATTAGAGGCAGTTATGTCAATGAGGCAGGACTCAATCTACAAGATTAGATTTTGTCTTAAGTCAATCTCTTTTGAGATATCTGAGAAGTGAGCAGAGAGACAGGGAAACCTCATACCACCAAGAAACGAGTCAGGAGAATAGCGTGTCCTTTGGACCCAGGGTCCCTGTACTGAGAAGCTCCTCAACCGGGGAAGATTGATGACAGGGACCTTCCCCCAAAGCCAACAGAGAGAGAAAGCCTTTCCCTGGAGCTGGCACCCTGAATTCAGACTCTCAACCTACTAGACTGTGAGAGAATAAGCTTCCGTTTGTTAAAGCCAAAAAAAGGTGCCCTTCACCTGGCGCCCCCCCAAACTATACTGATGACCCCTAAGGGCTGTGGACAAGCCTGCCTCAATTTAGCTCCCAGGACATGTGGGGCCGCTTAGCTCAGACTTCTGAGGTCCTTTCAGGGCGCTCAGGGCTGCTGTCTCCTGACTTTTTGTCTTTCTGTAACCCTTACAGATCCCCTCCCCAGTCGTTTTCTGTTCCTCAGACCTTTCCTCTTCTTGCCTGGCTGCCTCACCCCCTGACCGTGGGGTCTTCTGGAGTGTACAAGACGCTTCCTTGTCTCATTTCCGCCGCAACCGCAGCGCTGTTTGGAGGGACTTGATCCGGAGGGCTGAGAGGAGGCTACGGTCCTAGGCCCGCCCCCGGCCCCGCCCCCTGACTTCGCCCCTCAGGTTCCCTTCAGGCCCCTCCCCTCTAGCCCCGCCCCAGGTCCAGCTCCCGGCCGCGCCCCTCTAGCATCACCACCTCCGGCCCCCGACCTTTTAGCCAGGCCCCGCCCCTTTGGCCTGGTCCCGCCCCTCACCGGTTTTGGGGTCCACGGTGAAGTGGTGCTCGCCATCCAGCACGCTGTACACCAGCCGAGCGCTGCTGCCGTACGTGGGGTCATCCGCATCTGAGGCCATCACCTGCATCACCGACGTACCTAGGCCCAGGGAACCAAGCAAGACAGGGTCAGCTGGGGCCGTTGCTCCCTTCGCCCCCACCTCTCCCCACCCTAGGGAAGCTGGGAGAGGAGGCCGAGACTGGCGGTCATTGAGGCCAGCCCCCTCCCAGTCCCCACCCGGCTTCCTGACTGGCAGCCTTCCTAGTGGCACGAAGTTGGCCATGGAGTCCGAGCTGGATTCCAATCTCACTTCAGGGGCAGGCTCACAAATCTCAGTTTCCTCTTCAGCAAAACGAGGGTGATCCTAGTCCTCGGTTCCCCAGGTTGAGGGAATGTATTTAAACTCAGGGCTCAGAGCAGTGTCTCAAGAGGTGGTTGTTGTTGTCAGGTCCACTGAGTCGATTTTTGACCCATAGTGACCCATGTGACCGAGTAGAACTGCCCCATAGGGTCTCCTAGGCTGTAATCTTGAGGGGAGCAGATCGTCAGGTCTTTCCCCCAAGGAGCTGCTGGGTGGCTTCAAACAACTGCCAGTCTTTTTGTTAGCAGCCAAGCGCTTAACCATTGTGCCACCAGGGCTCTTTCAATGGGTGGTGGCAACCATCTCTTTCACCCTGTCACTTAAGGTCATCACAGTCAGAGGTGGAGCCAGTGCAGGTAACTGTTTACCTATCCCGGGCCCCTCTGACTCCTCAAGGGACCCCTTCCCACGGGGACGTCTACCCCCTCCTGGCCCTGAGGGGCACCTGACTCCCAGTGCAGCTATCTTTTTACCTATCCCGGCCCCCTCTGATTCCTCAAGGGACTCCCCCATAGGGACGTCTGCCTCCTCCTGCCCCTGAGGGGCAACAGAGTTCCTTGCGGGGTTCAGAGCCCAGAGCCTCCCGGCCCCGGGGCCCCAGGGCAGGAGGACAGCAGCACCCCCTTTCCCTTTGGGAAGTAGATAGCTGTGGACACTGGTGTTCTCCTTGCCCCTCCTTCTGGGTGTCCAGGCAGCCTCCCCCCAACTTCTCCTTATGCTCCACACGTAGGCTGCTGGGGAGAGTATAAATTGGATAAAAGTCCATCAAATGGCGGCAATTAAGTTATTGATTTTCGACGCTGCCTCATTAAACTGGGAGCTTCTCTCAGCCTGTCCCAGAGATGGCTCTAATTTGACATCATGTTCAATTTGACGAAAGCAGGGCTCGGGATGTGAGGCTGGACTGAGCGGCGGTGGGGTTGGGGGACGGGTCAGATGGAGGGTCCAGCAAAGCTGTCTGGTCCATCTGGACCTTCCCAGAGAGGAGGAGTAAGGTGCAGTGCCAAAGAGGGGGTCTTGGGGCTCAGACTACGACCCATGGGAGGATAAGATTCAGACCCCACTTCAGGGAGATGCCCTCTACTGAGTGTCTTTCTGGGGTGTGGTGGGGCCTAGGCCTGCTGAGGGTCTGGATGGGGCCCTCCAGGGCCAGGGTTGGGCTCTCCAGGCCAGCAGGTTGCATGCTGGGAGGTGAGGCCAGTTCGCTGCCTGGCTAATGAGTGAAAGTCTGGAAGTGCTACCGCAGCAATTCTGCTAAGCCCAGCCTGCTGCCTGCCTCTCCCGCCCCCAGCCTGAGGCCCTCGATCATTCCAGACAGACACATGTATTTATTTTTCACTCTTTTGCATTTCTCATTTCGCTCTCTGGGTCCCCCCTCCCAGCTTGAGCCTCCTAAACCGGCCCTGCAATGCGCTTCTCTCTCTGGCAGATCCAGCTCCATGTCAACCATGTGAGTTGCCTGGAGAAGCGAGAAAAAGAGGTTGGCAAGCCCCCTCCCTCCTGATGCTGGTGCCCAGGGGTCTTCTACTCAGGGCCAAGGGCACAGCCCCAGGTGCCTCCTGACCATACAGAGAGGAAAGGAATGAACTCCTATTGAAGATTCGCTCCATGCCCAGCTGTACTAGCCACTTAAATCCCTCATCTGTAACCCTCATAGCGTCTCTGGGAACAGACTGGGCCCCTCTAATATTACAGGTGAAGAAACAGGTCACAGGGGAAAAAGTGAGACTCAGGGCACACAGTGACAAAGTGGTGGGATTTGAACCCAGGACTCACTGATGCCAAAGCCCTTCTGGGTGCTAGTGTTAGCACGGGCACAGTGACTCTGGGGATGGTGGCCTGGTGGACAGAGTCACAATCAGTGATGGCTCTGCCACTTAGTAACTGTTTGACCTTGGGCATGTCATGAACCCCTCTGTGCCTCAATTTTCTCATTTGTGAAACAGGGTAACAGCACCATCAAACTCCTGGGATCATTGTGAGAGTTCAAATAGATTTCCATGTTCAGCACCGAGGCCAGCGTCTGGCTCATGCTAAGAACTCAATAAATGCAAGTTGTTGTCATCTCAGGCAGTATACAATGGCACAATCGTGCCTTTCTCACAGAGGTATTAAAATGGGAGGAGATACATAAAGCATCAGGCTCATGGTCAATAAATCGTGGCTGTTGAAACTGTTATGAGAAAGGGTCTCCCTGACACTCCTCCGAGATGTTCCCCCCACCCCCTGGGCAAGGCACAATGCTGGGCTGAGTGTCTCCCCAGGGACCCAGCTGAGCTCTCTCTCGCTCTCTCTCTGGCTGCAACCCAGGGACTCCCAAGAGGATGAAGGAATCAGTTCCCCAATCCGGGATTTTTTATTGCAGCCGTTACAGTTAATGGCGACACGTGGGATGGTGAAGGGTCAGTGATTCACCACCAGCGCCCGGGGCCCCAGGGGAATGGCTTCCTCAGGCCACACACCCCCTCCCACCTTCTTTACAAGTCAGCAGTTCCCCAGAATTGGCAGACAAAAAGGTGCCAGGCTTGTGGCTGCTGTGCGGCCACTTCAGGGTCACCTCCCTAGGTTTGGCAGTTTACATGTTGCAATGCATCATCGTGTCCCATCTCTCCTTCAGTTCTCGCACCCACTCCACAATGTAGATGCAGTGGCATGCTGGAAAATGTTTAGTCATTGGCTTTGTGGGGGGAACCCCTGCTTTGTAGTGTTTGCTGATTTCTGTGGTGTAAATACTCCACCATGGACATGTTCAAGCTACCAGTGGGACATCTACTGGCTCACAAAAATCCTGAAAATCAATTTTGGGCTCTTGTGAGCTGGTATGAGCAACACCACTGCATCTCTCCCATTTTACAGCTGAGGAAATGTCTATGCATGGTCAAGGGTGAAAATATGAATTAATAATGAATTGCATCGTGGTAGCACAGTGGTTAAGAGCTCAGCTGCTTAACCAAAAGGTTAGTGGTTTGAATCCACCAGCTGCTCCTTAGAAACCCTATGAGGCAGTTCTATTCTGTCCTATAGGGTCGCTATGAGTTGGAATCGACTCAACAGTAATGGGTTTGTTTGTTTTTTTTTAAATTTTTTAATTCAACAATAATGATAATGATGTTGTTGTGATTAGCTGCTATGGAGTTGGCCCTCACTCATGGCTACTCCATGCACAACAGAACAAAACGCTGCCCAGTCCTGAGCCATCCCCATGATTGGATCCAACCGCTGTGATCCATAGGGTTTTCACTGGCTGATTTTCAGTAGTAGATGGCCAGGCCCTTCTTCCTAGTCCATCTTAGTCTGAAAGCTCTGCTGAAATCTGTTCAGCATCATAGCAACACACAAGCCTTAGCTGACAGACAAGTGGTGGCTGTGCCTGAAGTGCATAGGCTGGGAATCAAACCTGGTCTCCTGCATGGAAGGTGAGAATTCTACCACTAAACCACCAGTGCCTCACTCAATGACAATGATCAACCAAAAAAACCAAATCCATTGCCGTTGAGTTGATTCCGATTCACAGCGACGCTATAGGACAGAGTAGAACTGCCCCATAGGGTTTCCAAGGAGCACCTGGTGGATTTGAATTGCTGACCTTTTGGTTAGCAGCCAAGCTCTTAACCACCCGCACCGCCAGGACTCCATGATAATGACAGTTACCATATAGTGAATAACTATTTTGTGCTAGATACTATGATAAGCCCTTTATGTATATTATCTCATGGAATTTATAGAATAAAGCCTTGAAGTAAATTCTATTAAAATTTCCACTTTACAGATGAGGAAATGAAGGCTGAGTGAAGTTAAGTAACAAGTTCACCGAGCAAGGAAGTAGGAGAGGCAGGATTCAAACCCAGGTCTTTCTGATGTCAAAACTCAGTGTATCCTGCCTTATAGGTGGGAGAAGAGCGTGGATAGCAGAAGAAGATGGGCGAGTGAGAGAGAGAAAAATCAGAGAAAGGAGGAGGGAAGAGAAGGGGAAGGCCAGGGAGCTGGGTTCAGGACTCTCCCTCCCTGACAGGTTCAAGCGGCTGGCTAGGAGGAGCAGCTCGCTGTCCATGGTGCTGACACCCAGCCCCTTTGCTAGCTGGGGTTAAGGTTCTGAGCTCAGCCTGGAAAAGAAGGGTGTCTGTAGCTGATTCCTAGGTAAACAGGATCTCAGGGCCCAGCGATCCATGTGGAATGTAAGAACTGGCAAAGCTGGTCCTTGGAGGCCCAGAAACGAGTGGTTCTCAAGCTGGCTGCACAGTAGAATCTCCTGGGAGCTTTAAAATAAAACATGCTGAGTCCCACCCCAGATCAACGAAATAGGACTCTCTGGAGGTGGAGGTGGAAAAAGGTGTTTTTACAAGCTCCCAGAGTGATTCTAAGTGTATCCCGGGCTGAGAACTGCTGTCCTAGACTCAACCCTTCACTGGTATGATGAGGAAACTGAGTTACAGAGGGGTTCGTGACCTTCCCAAGGTCACATATTAAGTGATGGGAAAAAGTCAAACCCAGGTCTGAATAGCTGTCATGTCACCCACCCCAGACCCCCTGTGCCTGTACTGTGACTGATACATAGAAGGAAGTAACAAGGATGACTCAGGCCACCAAGTCAGCTATCCTTCTCACAGGTAAAGTGAGCGTGAGGAGTCAGACACTCCTGAGAGCAGATGCCCCCACACTTCCATACATTCAAATCCCACTGCTTCCTCATCGTGTGCCCTGGACCTAGTCTTTCTCCTGTCTGACTTGCTTCCTAACC